TGGTGCAGATAGACTTGAGTAAACTCCACAGTTTCCTCCAATCTTCTGGCAGTAAGCTAGTGAGGTTTGGTTTGCTTTTCAGGAAGATGGCCCACTAAACAAGCCCTTATTCTAGATAGTATTGCAGTAGTTGTTGCTTGTTTATTGTTAAGCCTTTTTACCAACTGTGGTAACTTCATTCAGCTATCCACTTACTTACATTAGCTGCAAATCTACTTTTTTCTACTTTAAGTCAGTGGTTTGTTTCAAAATGTGTAGCATTGTTTCATGAGTTCTAAACTTTGCTTGTATTAATGCCCAACAGGATAGGGCTTTGTTTACAGAACTGCTGAAGATGCATCTTCAGACCACACATGTACAAATACTGTAAGCCACAGGAACTGGGGGCTTCTTTAATGTAGTTAAACTTAGTGCAGGGTTATATTAGGAAAAACAGGAACTAGAATTAATGAGAATTGATATAAAAACTCTGAACTGCTACTGCTAAACATTGATCAAAACTGAAACAAATGGTTCATGAGAGAGATGCACATTTAATATGCCTGTGCTTTGAAATGTCTTTCAAGTGCTCACACTGTTCAGATCTATAAAGAGACTTGAGTAGAATACTCGAAGTGTATGAATGCTTTGGGAAACAACTTAGGTCATTATTGTAAGCACTTATTTACAAAACATAAATAGAAGTCTGAAGCATGATATGCAACATGGGTGGTCCAAAACACAAAGCATCTTTCACAAGGGGATTATCAAACTCAACTGCCATATATAAGGTTCCAAAATTTATTTAAAAAACAAACAAAAAACAAAACAAAACAAAAACAAAACCCAACAAAAAACCCCAACCACATTAACAATCATACAATTCATGTAATCCAAAGCTTCAATATGATACTGAACACATGTCTACAAATTTGTCTGCACTGGAAAAGGGAAGTAATGTCAGAAAAGATGTGAAACTTCTGTAGATGTTGAGTTTTAAATGGCGATGTTACAGATAATGTCTATCTAAATCTAGTGAGATTTTTATTTAGTTTTATTCTTGGTAATATAAAGTAAAGCAGGTAAGAGTCAAGGTAACACAATCAAGTATGTAAATAAGTGATCCATTGCTACACATCCTTCACTTTTCATAAATGACCTGTAGCTCAGATTCTAGTACAATATTATTGAAAGAACTCTTTCTAGAAAAACTTTGATCCCAGACAAGGGATTATTTCTGTGAAGCTGACTACCATTATTGGCATTTATAACACTTCTGGTATCTCTGCTTATAGAAGATTTGCCTGAACAAAATTTCTCTTTGTAAAACTATGACTTTTTGCTCTTGGTAATTGCAGAATTCTTCTGCAGACAAACAACATTACCCATTACTTGAATGTTAAGCTTATTAATCCTTCACCAATATTTTTTTCCCTTTAGGCTTCTCATTTCTTTTGGGGACTTTGGGCTTTAATTCAGGCCAAATATTCTACCATTGACTTTGATTTTCTAGGGTAAGTGACTATACTATCTAGAAATGATTAATCTATTTTCCTCTGGCAAATTGCTGACTATCAGAATTGCCCAAGTAATTTTTATTTTAGTTTTGTTAACATTTTCAAGCAGGGTTTTTTGTTTTGTTTTTAAGAAATGCCTGTACACACAATTTCTTATTTGTATAGTGAGATTCTTTCAAGGCAAACAGGATGCCCAGCTAAATTCCATTGACAAAAAATGTGAGAAGTTCACCCTGTGATGTCTTAAAACCTTTTTATTTTAAAACATGACCTATATCTTCTTTGAAAATGTCAGAGTGCTTTATAGTAGTATAAGAGTGTCACCATGATGATCCAGGAATTGTGAGGGGCAAGGATTTCTTAGGGTGATATCTTTTATTGGACCAACTGTGTAGCTGGAATAAAGTCAAACAAGCTTTTGAATGCAAGACATTTGTTTCCTGTGATCAGAGACCTGAGGAAGAATGTCTTGCATTTGAAAACTTCATAAATACTTCATAAATATTGATGGTTTAAGTTTCACAAACTGAGGTTTTAGATAAAAAAAATTTCTGAATTGGAGTGGTAGTGTCGCAGAAGCTGAGTGACTTGGTCCCAGTGATATCGTGTCCATATTGGAGCCGGAAATGGCTCCCATTAGGTCTGAGACTTAAGAGTTATGTGCCCTGAGCAAGGGCTTCCTGACCTTCGCATGGCAAGGGGTGTTCCACTGACATAATCTAAATGCTTTCCTCAATGATCCTTCACAAGATTTAGTGTCTTACCCAGATAATGGCCGATGTTGTGGGGTTGAGGTTATAAAACATCAGTGTCCTTGCTTTCTGGAGGGAAAGACATTGTTTATTAAGACAAAAGTGTGTCTGTTCTGAAAACTCTTTTACTTAAACTAAGATGCCACTTTAACACAAACATAAATTAGTAATCTGAGCCATGTGGTTACTAAACAGATAAACTGACTTCAGTGTTTTATTTTACTTGAACTTAGTGTTTGCAACTTGTTGAACTAGTGAATCAGGCTGTCATAAGATTCTCAAAATTGAAAGTTTTCTAGACAGTAACCACTAGATGGCACAATATGCTAAATAAATAAGCACCACTTCCTAGGACTTTAAAATAATGGGAAATTATCCAATGAGGTTGAGACTCTTGGCATAAACAGTTGGACTTTTTAAGAATTCTCAGGTCTTACTAACTCTTTCAATTTTACTTTTTGAATAGGTATGCAATAGTTCGTTTTAACCAGTATTTCACAATGAAGCCAGAGGTCACAGCATTAAAACTTCCTGAGTAATGAAGAAGGAACTTAAAATGAAGAAGCAATCCTAGAGAATAACTCCTTTTTTTTTTTTTTTCTTCTGAGAACAGATACTGGAAAAAGCTAAACGTTTGTTAAAGTTCTATAATGTTCACTTGGTTGTTTTGCTTTACAAATGATGCCTCTAAAACAGTCTTTTAATGTTAAATCTAATGAAGAGCATACCTACTGCTGTTGATGTAAAATGAATTAGAAATTTGCTAAATCTATTAAAAAAAAAAAAAAAAAAGTTTGTAGAGATGGCAAGGTACTCCTTTCTTTTGTAATTTAACAGGTTGTATGTGAATTATTTATTATGAGTTTAACATGATTCCATTGCTGCTTTCATCACTTTCTGTAAGAGTTGAGTGGAGACAGTGAAATTGTTCCAAAGGATTTGTTTTTAGCATTTATTTTATTAAAGTAACGTTAACTTATATTAAACTGTACATGGTCAGAAAACTTTTAATCTTTGAACTGTATACAAAAAGTATGTGAATGGTAGTACACAGTAATTAGGGGAAGGAAGAGGAAGATAAAAAGCAGCTTTCCACATCATGGTACTTTTTATAAAGAGGTTTCCCTGTCTGTTGTGATGGATAAATGCCAATATTTTGATTTCCCTCCCCCCTTCTGCTTAGTGTACTACTCTGTAGAACTGTGAAGGTTTTGTGACCCTCTGATTATTCAGGAATATGTACCATCGCACAGTGTCTAACAGGAAGTGTACCAAACTGACTAAGGTGGAAGGATTTCTTGTTTTGGTAAATGTACATTTTTATTTTTTTTTTTAGAAGACCACTATTTTAACATCTCAAGTTATTCCTTCCCATTAAAAATAGTTTTTCAAAACTGTTTGAACACTATGTTCTGGACTATATGTATATTTTAACATACTGCAATAGCAGCCAACAGGATGGACTCGATCTAAAGCTTAGTGAATGGAAATCCTGTTGCACTTGGGAGCAAAACAATAATTGCCACTTAAGTTTACAATCTTTATATCATTTAATCTTTCTTTTTTCACTTCTTTCTACCCTCTACTTCTGAGGGTTTTTTTTAATACTTAGTCAAGTAGTTGTAGATTCTATTACATGTTCTCGTTTTCCTACCAAATAATAACAGAGATTTTACTGGTACATTCTCACATTCAGAGAACTTTCTCCAAATGTATGAGGTTTGAACAAATGAGGCTTTGATCATAAAACTTTTTAAAGAGCTGCAATACCAAGAATGGTCTGAATTACAAAATATGAATTGAAAACATTTGCTTAGTAACACTGTGCAGGTGGAAAGGAGGCTTTAAATCTTAAATTCCTGTGTGGAGTTGAGCAGCCACCTAGACAACTCCAATTATTCCTCTGAAAACTTTGCATTTTGGTCACTTAAGTGCCCACATGTACAAAGTCTGAGTATGTGCAAACACAAACTTACCTTAAGAGCAGATATGGGGAGCCCGATGCACAGACTCCAGCAAAGATATTTATTCAAATTGCTTTGTAGTACAGTGTCATTTACACACAAGCTTGACAAAAGCTTGGATTGTACCAGGATGCTTAAAGCAATCAATGTGGATGAAACACTTTCACCTTAAAAACAGTTGTGAATGTCATTCTGTTGTTTTACAAAAGCAAGTCATTTCTTAAGTTTTGTATTCAGTAGTGACTAGTCCCAATCTTGTATTTCCAACAATCACATTCTTAAAACAGCAACATAAATGGGTAAAAAAAAATTTGAGTGAGTGAGTAACATTTTTGTTAGTAATTATTATTATTAAAAAAAAAAAAGGTTATTAGATTGGGCAGATTCTCTTGGCATAGTCTAATAGAACTGACTAGCTAAAACTCAAGTTAAACTTTCCTTTTGTAGCATTAGCAAGGATGTTTCTAGAGCTCATGAAACTAGCAGGCAATGAGCAGTTTTTAATACTAGTATCCAAAATAAAACCTTACTTCTCACTAAGAGCATGAATCTGACAATCTTGCATTTGGTATTCCACACTCCTCAAGGGGTGCTTCTAATTTCAGCACGACATGTCTTGGACTAAGATTCTGCTCAGTGTGGGAGTGTTTCAGCTCTCGATTTCAGAGCTGTGGTAAAAGCAGTCCTTTTGGCCAGAGTGGCTGGTCTATTTCTTGTACTGTTCATATGTAGTATAGAAATATGTGGAAGTGAAAATGTGGCAATATTTTCAATTTTTTTTTTTTACTCTGGGGAAATTAACTTAATAGAGCCTCGTCTCCCAGCTATTCTAAAAATTCATCTTATACTTTAAAATCTATACAGGGCTGGCTGTTTGTTCCTAAAGACAGTGCAGTCTCTGTTAAGCTGAACTCCCTTGTCACATGCTAGTTGTATTTTGTTTTGGAATTGTGCTGTGTTTTTTGATGCTTGTTTTTACGGTGCAGGTAACCATGTTCTCGCATATTCGGCTTCATGTTTGGAGCTCAGCATTGGTTGTGCAGAGCTTCTAATTCCACTAAACTCTCTTTATGTAGAGCTCACAAATGAGAATATTAGCACCATAAGTTGTTTGGTTTTTTTTTTTTTTTTTTGAACTAAATTTTAAAAGCACAAAGCTACTTTAAAGTTACAAGGCTAGGCTTGGCACTATAAGTAGAAGCTTGGTTTTTTTATTCGTATGCTAAAGGTACTGCTGTCCTCCGACTCCCATTCAAGACTAAAATGTGACAAGCTTGGAATTTCTGCATTAAGTTGCTCTTAAGAGTTGCTGTTAGGGAATGTTTCTCAGTTTTATTTGGTGCTGCTTGGACTTTCCTTCTCTGCTAGAAGATACTCTGCGAATTGGGGACAACCACACAGTCGTCAAAGAGTAAATGAGGAGAGTTTTACAGTGTGCCCATTACATAGGCAAATCACTGCAGAGTGCATGTGCTTGTATGCTGTGGTAAATGACAGCTAGCCTCCTAAGAAGCCACCCTTCAGCTTTTGTGGGGTAAGAGCATATGCATAGGTAATTACAAAAATAGCTACAATGTAGATCCCCAGCCTTGTTTACCTGCTGGTAACTAGCTTTTATGCCCACAGCAGAGTCAGCTAGTAGCTAGGGCATTGTAGGTTTGCAAATAATTGGCCTGTAACTGCCACAAGCTTTTAATCAACCATCTGAACACTCAAATAAGGAACATATATTTGTTTGCTGAAGTTCATTTTGAAAGTTCACTCTTTTTTGTAATAATTTAAGGATATTTAAAGAAAAAAGAAAAAATGAGCTCTAGAAACATCCCTGTGTAATTCTGGCTTTGACTAATCAAGAAGTTATTCTGTTGCCTTTGTTAAACTAAGGGCATGAATGCCTAAATTAATAACTCTCTTGCTGTAGTTTAAACCTATATTGTAAATATAAAGAGGGTTGTTAGCAATGGCATTCATGCATGAATAGCATCATTCAGTAGACCTGTGGCCTGGTTGCTTTTGTAAAGCAGAATAGTGTGAATTTTTTTTCTTCTGACATTTCTGTAATCAGACCTGGTTAATCCATGCCTGATTAGTTACTAAAACATCTAAACATCAAAGACTTAAGTGATAACCGCTTTCACATGATTTTAAAACTTCATCTGTGATTCTTAATCTGTGTTTTAGAAAGGCATTATCAAACTGATTTTCATTAACCAGGTCTGACTGCATATGTACATACAACAGTGTAAATAACCATTTGTAAATTAGTGTGAATTGTTACTGTATCTTGCATTTATGGATTTGTGTATTGCATTGTACTCTCTCCTTCTTCTTTGTAGAAATGTTGATGTAAAGAAGATATCCAACCTTTGTGTGCTGACTTTTTTTGTTGATCTTGTTAAATTGACCATATTCAAGGGATCTGTGTTGTGTGATAATCAGATACACACCCTGTAACAAAACATATTAATTTTGTTATTAAGGCATCCACCATAGTTTTACTGCCTCTGCTGTCTGCTTTCCATTTGCTTTTTATGTTAACATCTGCTTTTTGGGAATAATGATTCTAAAAATAAAGGAATTAATACAGTAATATGCTTAAGAAAAATTATATTCTAGTAATAAGGCAAATTTAAAATGCTAATTAAAAGAAAATGTATTGCCCTTCAATATAGGGGAAATTGTTGAATCTCATTCACTCTAAATGGGAGCACTTGTAATTCCTCACATACATCATTGGCAGCTGGTCGCTTCTGAACAGAAATTTAAGTACCCTTTCTATAGAGTATTGTTCCTGTAGTAACGGAAGTGAGTTATGGTCTGTTAGAAAATTCCTAAACCAGCAGTTTCCAGTGTACATAAACTGTTGTCATAGAAGCATTAATTATTAACCCTGTAACTTTGTGAATGTTATAATAAAAGACCAAATCATTAAAATACTTCTGGCTGTCATTTTCCAGAACACTTAAACTACTAAATTTGTGGCCCACTTATGCTTGTCACAATTAGTATCCTCTATCAAATCCCATTCTGACCTATTAAGAGGAAAATATAGTACTATCTATACTACTAGTACTATACTGCTATAGTAATATCCAGCTTTTTCTCAGAATAAACTTTTCCTAGATCAGTAGTCAAATGGAAGAGTTAATTGGTCTGTCTTACCTATGAATTGAATAAAGTGACAGTTTAAAGTAGACCTTGTACTGTTGATGCCAAAACTTGCATTTTGTATGAAAGTACAACAGCATACAGCTATTTTTAAATGTTTACTGTAATATATTAACTGAATTCTGTCAGATGTCTCTTTAATGAAGTATTCTCCTGCCTAGGATTAGACCAGGTTTCTTAACCCCATAGCTGTTCTTTCTTTCTTGTATAGAAGTTACAGCTATATTCCAAATAGTCATCCAACTTAGTATAAACAGTTATTAGGTTAGGAGGTCCCCCTGTTCTGAAAGTATTAACCTCCGAAGCAAGTTGACAAATACTATGGCTCTATGCAATTACAATTACCTTTTTAACTTACTGTGGTATTGAGCCTCTTGTCATGGCTGTGATTAACAGACTTGTTGGAAAATAGTGGGGCACAGAGAAGGAAAAAGGATTTTGTTTTTAAATGTATATGATCTTGGTTGTCAAGTTTATACAGATGGTTATGTAACTCCTATTCTGTCAGAATCCATGTGCCAGACAAAACAAATACTAATGCTTTTTAGAAGCGAGATATTTCATATTACCTAGGGTCCTGGAAAGCATTATTTAACTTTAAATGCTTTGGGGATCTAAAAACAAGTATCAAAAGGTATTTGTGGGGAGGAGGGATTCACAAATTACAAAGAAGGGGAAATAAGCCAGTTGAAGCTTTGGTCTGCCTTTTGATCTCACTATACTTTTGCAGTTCACCGATTTTAATCAAATTCTAAAGGAGAAATTGCTCAGTGCTGAAGCTGAACTACTTTAAAAAGGAGGTTGACACTTAACAGAAAAACTCTATCCTTAGTCCCCTTCCACTAAAACAATTTTTTTTTTTTTAATGGACATACTTGTTTAAATAGATCACCTTTTTCTTGCTAAAACCTTCACTTTGTACCCACGAGATTCCAGTCCCTTTCATTCTCACGGCACTTGCTTTGTGGGTGGTTGGGTGGGCTGACTCTTATCCATCAGTTTGGGCTCTCCAGTGCTATTTTGGTATTTTGTTTTAATATATGCCTTTCAAAAAGATGCACTTGAAACATATTAAATACAAAACTGCTAGTTAGCAATTGGCTTCTTGTCCTCTTTCCCAAATGCAAGAGGTAATTCCAGCTGATGAACAGTAAAAACTTGATCACGTTTCCACATGGTGTTGTGCAATCTCGCAGCTGATCTTTTTCTGTACCTTTAGTGTCATAGGCTTAATACAGTTGGTGTAGTTAGTTATGAAAAATGCAGCAAAGTCTGAGCTTGTTCTGGGACAATGTAGGTGTTCTTCTAGCAAACCACACAGCTGGAATGAGGGAGGTTCTCTGAGGTGGTAGAACCACACAAGTCCAGATGGCCCACAACAAAATGAGCCAACCTTTGTGGCCTACAGGCCTCTGGAATGGAAAAGGAAAATGTGTAAATTGTTTGCACGTGCCAGTTGTGTGGTACTGTTCTGCTGATGTGGTCAGACACTGGAAATTGCATTGTCTGACTTCAAGAGAACTTACCAAATGATCTGTTCAATTAAGTTTATTACTTTAACAAAAAACTGGCCAGTGACTGAAAATAAATTTTCTTAAAACTATCCTATATTTAAAAGTCTGTGTACAATTGGTTTGTTTGTATAAGAGCAAATACTTATTTGGCTTTTCAAAATCCCGACTGGTTTGGAATAGATAGATAGATAGCTTAATGATAGCTTCTTATTCAATGGCAAAAAGAGCTGATTGAAATGGGTTTAAACTGGCAGAGTGGTCCGAGTAGAAGACTGATCTACAGACGCTAGGTTTCTCATTTAGGATGTTACACTGACTCCCCTGTGGCCTTTAGAAGTGGTTTAACCTCTACGTTCCAGTTTTTCTATCTTACAGACGTTTTAATTTAGAAACTTCTCAGGGATGCTGTGACCATTATGGTTTGCCTGTATTAGGAAAATGAAAAGCACTAAGTTCTGGCTTTATCGCATTGGAATCAAAAGTTGGGGAAAAGCATCAAAGGACATATGAACCACTTTAAATCTAATTTTTAATCTTTTTAAGATGGAAGGTTTTTGAGGTCCTACTGTGTATTGTTTCTGTTGCTTTTTTACAACCATAATTTACCATCTTAAAAAGGGGTTTGTGGGGTGTGTTTGTTTTTCACACCAGGGAGAGATCCACAAGATGAAAGTGATTATATGAGAAAATACTTTTAAAATGTCTATTGGCAATGTACTCACACTCATGCATGCACACATACAGAGTAAGTTGAAAAAAAAAATCTTTCTAATTTCTTAGTCATCGTAATCTTAAGTGTTAAAAAAGCAGCCAGTATAAATGTAGCAATGATGATTTCTGTTTGTATCTCAACTGAAGTCTATGGTAGTGCTATGCTGCTTTCTACAAAAGAGTTTTGAATAGTCTGGGCAATGAGAAGCTATCAATATCTTAAATGTAACTTGAAGTAGGTTTATTGGTCCCATTATTCCAGCTACCCAAAGCTATGTAAACCCTTTCAGAGATGGGGCTATAGCATAATAAGGAAACATTCCACCATGTCATTGTCTAGAAGATATTTTTGGTATGTTTTTATTGTTACACTTTTGCTAAATCCATAAATGCCCTATGAGTTAAATGGGTTTAGTCTAAAACAAAAATAGCTAGACATAGTGGTGTGTCAGTTAACATGTGCATTCTGTTCATTCATCAGCTCTTATTAGAATGCATTATATTTCTTTTGACTCTAAGCGTTGTGTTGATGCTGTATTTTAGTAAAGGCCTTCTACCACTGATCAAATAAGGAATGTATCGTTCAAAGAGGAGACTCATTGTGTAAATTAAACTGGTGGAAACAAGGAGCTGGTTTCTTATGGTACTGTTGGCATATATTTTGATTATTTTGCTTTTTAGTGGCTTTAAATGCAGCAGCTATTATTCAGGTTATGTATATTCCTTTTAATGCCACACATATGAGGTGTTACTGATTCCTCTGGAAATAGTATTCTTCGGGATTTAGTACTTGGCTTCCAAAATCCAGCCTATAAACAAATCTGCCTTATGAATTAAATGTGGTTTTGGCCATTAAGCAACACATTTATGAGAGAGGAGTTAAGAAGTGGAGAATTAGGAAGTGGTGTGAATGAACCACTTAACACTCAGTACTCTTATAGCATGACTCATACTTGCCACAATCAGTTATCTTTTGGGGCAGAACCTGTATACCTATCCATATTTAGAGCTAGATTATATACTAAAACCTCCAAATCTTTGATACAATCCATATTACTTTGAAGCATAAATTGCCATTAACATCTAAGGACTCCTGAGACTTATGGCATCACTTTAGTCAATGGTGTTTTGGGATTCTAACAAAAATTGATGTGTTTGAAATGTAGCTCTAAAAAACCCTGTTAATTCTACACTATCTTTCACCCTTAAAAAAGACTCATGTCACTGATGCATCTAAATGAGGGGATTCATATCACCAAATAGAGAATTTGAGTGCAACTAAAATCTGCTTTGTCTGTAATGACCATATTGGGAGTAACAGTTCTTGAGCCCAGTTCTGCTTTTCCTGATGTACATGCAGGGCTTACTGCTGTCCATGGGAATTGTTTTCATGGAACTAAAAGTAAAACTTGCCTATCTATTTTCATTTTAAATGTTTGAAATAAACATGAGTCTTCCCTTATATAGCCATTAGAGGGAATAGTACTTTTAAAAACACAATCTAAATCGATACAAAGAAGTAAGCTTTGTGTAAGTGTAACCTATGCTGGAAGAATTCAGCCACATAAATCTAGTTTTTCTGATGGCACCTTTTAATTTGATCTCAAAATGAACTTTAGTGACCTAAGGCTGCATGCATACATTCAAATAACCTGGAAGATTTCTCACGGGTTTCTTCTCCTGGTAGAAAAACTAACCTAGAAATGCCTAACTAAACATTCAAATGCTGAGGCCCTTGAAGAGCAGAGAGCTTGCCCTGCTGATGCTGTGCAGACAGGTGGACCCTAGCCACACATCTCAGCCTGCTCCACAGATTCCTGAGTCTGCCTGGTGACAGATGGCAGCAGTGCACAGGGAAACTGATAGGTTGACCGTGAGCAGTTTGGGTCAGCCAATGTCTCCCTACAGCACAATGTAGGATTGTTAAAGGCGGTGGGGGATGTTCTGCCCCCTGTTCAACTACAGCAACAGAGTCCAGGGAGTCCAGCAAGTGCTACTGTCTCCTTAGGGGGTTTGAGTGGAAGGAGCAAAGCACCCTGGGATACTGAAGGACTGTACTGTGGATTCTCTCAAAAGAAAATGTACAGAGGTTTGTTCTCCCAGGAGTGTTTAATCCTGTTTGTTCCCAGGTTATTTTTTCTCCCGGAGTGGCCTTCCTAATATCTGTACATTTGTGGTTTCTCCTAGAAGAGCAGTGACTCTCCCAGAGGAAACTGAATGTCTGTTATGTGTTAAGTCTTACAATGTGGAGCTGTAACGGAAGGAGCTTTGCACTATCAAATGTAACCATTGCACTTATACTTATTTTACAGTGTGGTTTAACTAGGACATCATAAAGCTTGCTTCATAAATCAGTGACAAAATTAAATGGAAAAAAGAAATCTGGACTAATAGATACCATATGACTCATCTTTTGATTTGCTGAATTTTTCCCTTGTCTTATTGTGAAAGATCAATAATCGAATTATAGTGCTATGCATTAAGAATTGCATAGTTTGAGATTATCAAATGCCTCAGCTTCCTTTGGCCTTCACTGACCTAAACAAACCATTTCTCTTATCTACAGTTTTTGCTGCAAAAGTACTGATGCTGCAATTAAAGCATGGATAAGTCTTTTAGCAATTTAATCATGTTTAGAATAAAATGATCAAACAATGTCAAAGTTGTAGATTCAAATATTGACTACTTAGCTTTATCCAATCAACATCTCTAGGACTTTCCCTTCATGAATCTTCAAGGTTCTCCATAACATAGCAGCTGTGGCTGGTCTTCTGTTAATTATCCCATATTCATTGAGAGTGAGTTACTTTCTTGGATTATATGCCAATTTAAAATGCCCTTGTGTTAAAGGCCTTTGTCTCAAAACTCACTCTCTTTGCCTTAAGTTTACTAAAATATGTGAGCAAGCCCTCTTTAGGAAGTCCAGAGTTGTGCGTGAATCTCTAATTAAGAATTGTCTTACAACAAATTCAATTAGTGACTGTTTGCCATGATCTGTGAGATTAGGTAAAGGGATGTGATTAGGCGATAGTATGAGACATTCCAGTAATATTTTCCTTCAGTGGGAGGATAATGCTTAAGCTTTTTCAAAGGGAGACATTGTCTTGCCCTGCTTGTGCTTCTGACACCTGGACACTAAGTTTTTTTTGACAGAAAGCCTCAGTGCCTAAACTTCAGTAGTTATATATGCCCAGATGATCTGTTATCTTGGCTGAGCCAAAAGCCTTGCTTATACCTTCACAAATTAGGTGTCCTTTATACCTGTATCCCTAGGGGGATCCAAATCAGTAGGAGCATTCTGAGCCTGCCCAACTTTAACTGACAACACTGAGTATAGCACCCACAGCCATTTAAATCAAAAATAGGAGAAGAAAAAAGTGGTGCTGATGTTGCCCACCTAAAAACCTTGTGGTTAACAGCACTAGACTAGGAAGTGGAAGACCTAGGATGTTTGTAGACGTGCTGGGAGGCTGCCCTGACACTAATTTTACAGCGATCGATGAGCTTTAGTTAAAGCACCCTTAATGCCATTTTGAAGCACAGGGATGCTGAAACACAAGATGCTATAGCACTTGGCTCCAAAATGCTTCCCACCCCCCAAAGCATGTGTAAAAATGCTCATTGATTCCAAACTCCTTAGCTTGGAATTCTCCTTGGCTTATCTCTCAGGAGAGCATCTTAACTACTATGCTAGTGGCCAGGCTAGGATGAGGACATGCAACCACCTGACTTGTGATGAAGCTGGACCACTATACAGACAAAATTCATGGGAGTGAAAGGAGAGCTTGACTAGTTCAGTTATGAATGTGTTTCGTTCAGAGGAGATCTCCACCTGTGCCTAACACCATGCTGTT